TGTCTGGCCGGTTGTAGATCGGGAGTATATATTATTTATTTGTGCACCGATCGGTCAAGATATTTGAGTCGCCTTGTTTTTGAAGATCATGCATCTTAAGCGGAACTGACTATTTAGCCTACGTTTTGACAAAAAACGAGTGCAAACGCTAATTTTGCATAATACCAACAGTCGAAAAGGTGAAAGCTGGGCGTGGAATGTTTTGTTTTACGAAAGGCTACAATTCCGTACCCATTTGAAACAAAATATCCCGCCGCAGCAAAAAAGAAAGTGAGCAGCAACGCGCGAGCAACACATTCTACAAGTGCTGAGATGATTCAATGACACGAGTTGTACTTCTAAATTGCAATAATTAACACCATTTCTAAAGAACCCACTTCCATAATACGGCATATTTTCAGAAGGCGTCACCCACTATAAACGGACGCTGGAAACGTCACCTTGTCAGCACTTTTGATGAATGGTAAATGGCGGTGAAAGTCAATTCAAAACTACATACGTCCCTTATAGCGTCAACCTAACTGAGATTTTAGAAATAGTTTTGGCATTAAGTTGGCTGTTGCGTCAATCATAATAGTAGCACTCATTAGTAGCAGTAGTACTGGTAGCCCTAGCAGTATCTTTCAAGAAGTTTACTCGACCAGTTTAGACAATTAGTTGGGAGTTTAAAGTTTTACTACATAGTTTGGATGAATTGTCATCTATGCTTTCAAACGTAGAGCCATAATATCAATAGAAATTTCCTAGTAACTTGATAAGTCGATCGGCATAACGAAAGATACATACATGAAAGAGTGGATTGCATTAATTAAATGCTACGCCGGGCGGATTTGACCTTGAGGGCAAACGTTGTCAAGCACATAACGACTTACATCCGGCAGTTATGGAGCAGGGCTGGCGGAATGAAAATGTCTGCTGCAATAGGGTAATTATAACGCTAAATCCACTAATCTCCACGTCTCCCCCGGTAGACCAATCAGAATTCAGAGCTTAAAAAGACTGCTGAATGGCTACAGGGGTAGCTTAAGTGGTTGTGCTTCACGGTACGTAAAACTACCATTGCAGGCGGGGGAATGAGAAACAGTAAAAGGAAGAACGTCATATACAGGAGGATTTAGAGCAAAGAGAGAGATAGAAGAGTGGTGTCAACATAAACCATTGTTAAGCATAGTAGTTAAGATTGGTCTTCTTTTTGGCCTGAACCTCCAAAATGGCGTCCATGTAGTCCTCGTGAACTACTTGAGCGGCGTTTCTTCGGAGGGCAATCATACCCTAAAACAGCGAATTGTGAATGAATAAGGAAAGCATTGATAAGATTTCGGAGTAAAAAGCAGGGACACAACGACAGAAATTTTGAATAAGTCTCAGGACGATAAGATTGCTTGGGTCATATTACTGAACTCCTGAAGAACAGGCCGTTTTCTCCTTTGTTCAAAATGCAACCAATTCACTCGGATTTATCTCACCGAATTAGTACTCAGGACGGAAACCGAAACAAATAAAAAGAGTGAGGTTCTACAGCGATTTTGTACGAAGATTGCTTGCCAAGACATTTTTAACGAACGCACTAAACATTTTGGTATTTAGAAATTGCTGTTGCCCATACATATTCGTAAGACATTTGTCCGGAAGTCATTTTTTTCTGACGTCACGGGTAGACATTTCAATTGCTCATCTTCTGAGAATGGCGTCGTTTGCACACTCCTCATCATACAGTGGATTTTTCACGAGGCGTTGATCGTTACTAATGACTGTGCGTGTTAACCAAACTCCCGTTTCACCGTGATCTGTGTCCGGGATTCGAGCAAGGACTCTTTGGGTATTGAGCGCCAAGTGCAGTGCGCCAGCATAATGCCTACGACAGCGCTACGCCGAAGTCTAAGAAATACAGAAAAAAAAATGCTGGGACTGTAACCACATCGGTCAATAACTCCTCAATACTGCTGTCTACTGAAGAAAGCTAAAGGAAGTGCAGAGCGGTCCGGAAAGGTAAATTCCGTTGGAGGAACGTGGGCCGCCATTGTGATCGACTTTTAATGGACACTCATTGCAAAAAAATCAACGACGCAGCAATACTTTCGTAACAAGACCCGGTGTACGGGGGG